GATGCTATGAGAGCAAAGATTTCCGCGCAATGGCAACCCTTCCGAGACATGAAAATGTCTGTGGGGGACGACGCCCGCGATGCATTAAACTCGGAACTTCGCAGACCACCTCGAAACATATTTCCGTGGTAAGGTAAAGAAGAAAAAGCTGCAGGGTGTATTTCGAGCCGAAAGGATAAAAACCATTGACGTCGGATGGCACCAAACTACCGAACGACGATGGAGCCCGGAAAACGGAACGCGATGCACTGGGCAAACCTGGAATAAGAGGTACGTACCTTGAGTCACGTAAAAGAAGGGAGCAGAAAGCACTACCTTACAGTACTACCTTACGCTACAGAAGCATCATTCAAGCCTCTTACGATTTCTTTGGGAATTTTTCCGAATCTTTTATGACGATGACTCGGACTGCTTCTTCTGCGCTGGTGTACGTATCCAGGACTCTGCTACCACTCTATCCATGCCTGCTGTTTACCTATAAGGACGGATTTGGGCTGCAAGAAGCATTAATTGGAGGCATCATAACTCCCACCAAGGCCAAGAAGAGGTCTGTCTAGTCCCAATCATAAGGCTCAATCCTAGGCGCTCCGCACGCATCTGTCAGCGCCATGGGGACAGAGAGTACATATCTTCGGATCGACCGACATTTTGGATTTATGCGTTTCCTCACTGTCGCTTTATTTGGTCTTGCATGCTTGGAGCTCCACTCAACAGTCGCATTGATTGTGTGAACTTGTTGCTTAGGTCTCGGTGCGTGCTGCAGGTGGTCAACCCCGACCTCGACCCTGGATCAGCAATGTTGGCTAGCCTCGCAATGCAGGGGTGGTTAGGACACACATCCTTCACCAAGCTTCTGGTCTTTTTCTAGCCATATTGTGGCCGATCTCCGCACGGCAAATATCCATCAGAGAGTGTCGATCAATGTACGACCACAAGAGACAACGTCTTACTGCCAACTTTTACCTATGTGTTCGAACCGTCGTCGTCTTCCCCCCGTCAGCCAAGCATGGTGGCCTTTTGCATTGCTCAATCGCAAACTATAAAATCCCATGTCCAACCCTTGCAGCATCGTGGCTAGCCGACCCAATCATGAGCCATCAAGTCCCGATGATATATGTAGACACGGCGTCCTCTCCCGAAGAACCTGCCCCCTTGCTGATGCTTCGACTCCTCCGAATCGCATTGCCCCATAATACTGGATCACCTGGTTTCTGTCTCATGGAGGTTCTCGGGGTGATCACCCGAATCAATGGCGGTGAAGGAGGAGCCCATCGCGATCATCTACCCTGTTCGAATATCAGTGATCGACGTGGGAAGTCAACAAGTCATGGCCGTTAAGCATGTGCATTCATCCCACTTCTGGGCAAGCATTCGTCCCGAGTGCTCGAGCTGCAGCACCTGCCAATGCACGCTGTGCACAAGTTGCCAGCAAAGCACGCGCCCGATCCAATCGTCAGACTAGTGAACGGGGGTCTCTAAGCTGTTCCAGAATATGTGAGACCGTAATTCACTCAGCGCAACGTCCTCGGCGTCTAGGTATGGAAATCGACTGTCTACCTTTCCCTGGGAGACAACGCCACGTCGTATATAGGTCAAGGAGGTGATGCCAGCCTCGTCAAGAAAAGGTAACAATCGATCATAGTTCGTGGCGACATGGTCCACCCCATGGCTGTCATCAGACAGACAGAATTGGAGCTTTCGCTTCAAAGCAGCCTAAACCATGAGCTTCCTGCTGGATATTCGTTGAATTCGTGGGGGTAAACATACCTGGCAGATCTCTAACTTTGGGTAAGGTTCATTCATGCCTTTACGTAACCCTGCAGTGTTGATCTCGAGAATTCCCCCATATGAGGAAATGTAGTCGAGATTTCGCAGAATCCTCTGCCAGACTTCAGGCATAGCCTTGAAGCTGCCATTGGGATTGTCGCTTTTCAGCCGAATGAGATCCAAGTGTCCGACCACAGGCGGCTTGAGAGCCTTCAACATAGCTAGTTGAGCGTCGAAATAGTCTTCGAAAAGCTTTTCATCCGACCCGCCTGAATTCTGGCGTGCCTGTTGGTACATCTCGGTATCATAGTCGATGGGAACGGTATGAACGTGGTGAACTGATCCAATGAAGAAGTCATACTGGTGCGTTGCAATGCTCCGCTGCACAAGGTCGGCTGACTCAGGTCGAATCCATTCGCCTTCGAAACCAATGGGTAATTCGATCTGCTGGCTGTACTTCTCCCGCAATCTGGATGCCTCGGCGAAATAGGAGCTTTCGTTGTTGAATTGAGATGCCAGGGTCAACCCTGCATCGATCTCCTCGGGATACCGATCTTGGTCATGCCTCGGCATGTGCTCCGTCATTGCTAGCACCTGCATCCTCTTCGAGATGGCTGCCATCACGACGTCTTCCAGACTGTCGCGGGCATGGCCTGGACAAAATTGACCTGAATGGCTATGATGAGAAAACGGCATTTTGCGGACTCTCGAGCGCTTGTCGGGCTATGCGTTGTCCTATAAGTGGTCAAATGAAGAATGTGACTACCTGTCCATGCATTGCCATTCCCCTGTCAGGTGCACAAGTTTGCTGATGGCTTCCACGCCAAGTCGAAGTCGAATCTTGAGGGTCGAATACTACGGATAGATTGTAGACGTGGAGAAACCCAACTTGACAGAATGGATGGGTGCCGAGGTCGAGCCGAGAGCAATTCCTTCATTAAGTCCGGGATTCATACCCAGACATCCTACACTGAAATAATCTCTCTTGCCCACCTCACTTTCAAATCTAGCTTGTAAAGGCCTCGCCAACCAGAAGACCGAGCCATCTCTTACTGAATTTGTTCGGCTGATGCAAGACTTGGTATTCCCAGGAGCTGAGCGATTAATGACCCCAATGTCGGGGGTTGTTGAAAGAGGTCTTCTGGGAAAGCACAATGCAGTACTACCGCAGACAGAACACATGTGAGGGAAGAGCTCCCGTCCTCAGGGCAGGATTGCACCTCTCTCAGAGAGGCTAGAGTGAAGTTTGCTCTCACATCCACCGGAGTTCTTCGTCACAAGGGAGTCGTCCAGAATGCCATGGACGGCAACCCCTTTTGACGCCGTTATGCTTAAGTTTCACACCTCCGAGGGGGAGTCCCAACCCCATGGTTCACGGGTCCCACTGCGACCTGTCACAGGAGTCATATGTACTGTTTATCAGGAGTGACAGTCAGTCTAACGTATGCTGCGGTGGTGATTGTGTCAACTGGTCTGAGTCTATCTTACAACAAAAAGGGTTCCGTACAAGGTTGACCGCTGTTCCGCCCGAGGTATGTGCAAAAGTCTGCGACCCACGAGTGCCACCACCATGTACTGACATGAAACTTAAGGTTAGGATTTGATCAAGTCTCGGATCCTACATGAACTCTCTTGCAAGGTCGTTTTTGAGCACATTATTTCCTTTAAGGCAAAGTTTTCCAGATGCTATTCTGGCTCCATTGACTATATGTTGGATGGGCGAGGCCGAACCATGCCGAAATGGACGAGTCCAGCCGAGGGATATTTACGCACCGTTTCTGGATACGATGGAGACCACTGCAAGCCCTGTAGGGCTTAGTAAGGCCTCTGATCAAGCCTTGCTGTCGCCTCCGCATACGGAGGTAGGCGCAATTGCCACGTTTTTGACCGGAAATTACGGAAACGTCTTGGCCATCCAAATGTACTTATTATTTTGGTGCAGTTGCTACTATACGCGGGAACATGCACCAGGAAGGACCAAGTATCAGTGGGAGCGGGAGAGCTACTCGGTACTCAGAACAGCCGGCTGCTTCCCCAGAAATCTGCATGAGCCGCGCGCAAGAGGGCCATGACGGTAGTCCATGCAAGGTAAAGTTGTTCTGGAAAGCTTCACGACTCGACCGCTCGAGGCCCTTGGAAACCACATGCTGTAGTTGTCCGGAGTTATACTCGTTTGGGAAGGAGAGCGGAGGTTCAAAGGCTGGGCAATGACTTAGCGTTGTGCTGACTGCTCTTTTTAATGTGAATATTGACTTCCTTCGTGGCAGGCTCAGCGTCTAGACTCCCGCCGACCTGCACGTCACTGATCACATTCCCACGTGGCACCGAGGGAATGTATGCTTTCTGCATTGTGAAGAAGTATGACCCAGAAAGTCGGTAAAGGAGAGTTTTTCGGAAGCGGGAAATGTCAACGTTTATATCATTCGTTCGGAAATCTTATGAGGTAGGCCCAGCATCGGAAATAACAAAGACTTTGCTTCGAATCCAATATTCACGGAAGTAATTCAAATATCAGACACGACTGTTTGATGACAGTTGACGGAAGGCGTGGCATGGGACGACACGTCTCGAAGCAAGGAGGCGAGAGTTTGTCCGACAGCCTCGACGCACCTTGAATCTGGGACACCTGCCGTCTGTCTCATTCAGAAAGGAACATGCGCGACTTGAGACTTTCTGGTACATCCCATTGTTTCCAGACCTGTCGTTCTCGTATTCGCGGCTGACTGACTCGTGCATGGCGATACTGTACTGTACCCACTTGACTGGCATTGTTAATTCCTTCACTAGTGGATCAGTTTTCCGTGGAGTCAAGTCCCGGTTTAATGGTCGAAAGTATCAGACGCACCGTGCATCACTGCATCCTGCACAACGCAAGATCAGACCACAAGTCCCACACGTTCCTCCTCGAAGCTGCACCGAAGATCGCTAACGTTAAGTCGTTATTTTTATTACCCCACGATCGATGAGAGACAATCAATACCTTGTACCCTGCAGCTATACGCAATCACGTGGCAGTATATCCGTCCAGCGATATGCAAGGTAATGGTGTGCTCGCCCTGAGGTGCTTACACAATCTAACATCGCATGCCACAAACTTCACCTTCACCTTGGATGTGGTTTCAGCCACACCCACAGTAGCTTGGAGGGACAAAAATCCCAAAAAAAAAATCCAAACAAGGATGCGAGCTATGTCTGTTAGAATAGATGTTGTCGTAAACACGAAGGAATACATACGAACAAGGGACTCGAACCCTCAACCTTGGCTTTTCGACATGATCAGGCAAGATCAATTTAGGAGAGCCTTTAATTTCATGTTAGATAAAGGTCAACGACCAAGGTTGTCGTAAGACTGACCACGCGCTACCATTGCGCCAATCCTAATACCCAAGTTAGATAAATACTGCGTTGAAAGAAGCAATGTAGCTTACCCCCTCTCTGAATCAGACGGGTTGAAAGAAAATCTGTGTCAAGTTTTGACAACATTTCACCCACTTTTTCGGGGTTCATAACCTATAGCAGTTTGTTTTTACTCACGTGACTTTCGGCAAAAAGGGTTTAGAGTCGATCGAGCGTGTGCCTAACCTTGGCGTCATCACAATCACTTCAGGCTTAACTCTACGCAGTTCGCTATCTGATAAGTACTTTCCTTACGAATATTGCTTGCGGATACACTGAAAGGCTGTGACGCAAGGCGAGACCCGGACTCTTTTCTGTCCATGGGGACTGAACGCGCTACTTGGGACATAAGTACAGAATCAGGCCCGAGATCTTTCCTCAGTTGAGGAAAGCTGGTAATCATTACACGTGATGGTTTTCTTCCCCAACCGCAGCTTGAGCATCGTGCGTGAACTTGTCCAAGCACAACGCGACTGTGTTCAAGAGTCGACCCATCATCTTCCCTGTGTGGCGGAAGGCCTCTAGCAACACCCATCCTTTGCTCGTGCGATGGTAGCACCTGTCAGCCTCCAGCCGCCTTTGCTGCCTGGGAAGGATCCGGGTAAAAAGACCCCGTTCCGCTCTCGTTCGTTTCTTGGACGGGCTGCTGATTTGGGCCAAGCGGTCCGTGAACCGCGTATCCCACTTGGCCGGGAACATAATTGAACGTGCGGTTACCAGTCTCGCCAGGCTGTTGAGACGCAACGGTACTTGATGAACCATCCTTGTACAAATGAGTCCGACCATCCGCACTGAAGGATGAGTCCAGGTCTATAGTGGCGTGGGGTTGAGAATCGGCCCTAGAAGTATGGATACCATCGTGCGTGGTGAGTGGCACTCCTCCGTGAGATGCCCCAAATCCGCTCGATCCCATATGGAGGGGACCATCCCCTGCTGTCTGATTCGAGGCACTGTTGACCTCCTGTTGTTTCTCTGGATCTCGCATCGTTGCAAATTTATTAAAGACTGGCGGTTGCATTGGCCCCATGCCATGACGATCTGCTGACCCGTAGAAGTCGGTGACGGGTCCACGTACTTCTGCGGGGGGATTGCCTGCTGGTCCTGTGGCCAGACCTGGTGCATCCTGAGTGAATAGACCGGACTTATCACCGTCTGCGTGAGTAGCTCCGAAGAACGGGTATCCTGGTTGTCCCGGTCCGCCGGAGTGTGGTTGCAAATTGCCGTAAACTGAACTCGGAGGAGGGGTGGTACCGGTTGCAGTCAGGTTTGGATCGTCTCCTTCCGCCTGTCCATGGAAAAGTTGTCCAGGTCCTGGAGCTGGGTGGCCCTCAGGTGGCCAATTCCTCTTATTCACCTTTGATGGTGGAATTGGTGGTTTCGGATTGGTAGGGTTACTCATGCTTGCTCAGTCCAGGTCAAGAATGGTCAGCACAGAGACCTGTCCCTGAAACGGCTGATGGCTTGTTTGTCTGCTAGATCATCCCAAGAAGAGTCTGTTGTATAGATCACCACGGGACATTGCAAGACGGAGTGGCATCAGCAGGTATGATACTTATACTATGTAATATGCTAATCGCGGCCACATCAGGGCATGTCATATGGCTCTGACCGCACTTGCTTATATTCGAGACATACAACGAGTGCTCGCGGCCATATGCCTCGTAACGCCGCTGCTGTCGTCCTACACTAAGGTAAGTCCTGAGACCAAGCTTACACGAGGCTTTTGCACTATCACGACAGTCGAACTCCAGGTAAATTAACCAACTGCTCCTCCATGAGAGAAAGTTAGTCTCTGGTATTGGCTGGGCCATACTGCAAACACGCTTGTAATCCTGCCTGCCAGTGTGGGCATGTACGGGCCGATTCGTGCTCACCAAATTCATGATTACCTCTCGGAGTATTTCGCTGACATTTCATAAGCTGCTATTCGTATTCCAACATTTAGCACCTCGTGCAGTATCAAGGCCATGCCGGATCTATATCTTTCGACTTTCACCGCATCCATGCCCTTTCAGCTGCGCGTACGAGCATTACCCACAAATAGATCTTATTACTACTCATGTCCGAAAGAAGTCAGCGCATGCCGAGTTGTATAAATGGCTCTGAAAGATACACGCTCGGTCAGTAATCCTTGAAATCGTTGTTCAACGTCCAGCAAAGTAGACTTCAATTTACAGCCGAGCAGAAGGGTGGGAGATACTAAAATGGGTTCCAATGATAATACGTCTGATGACCAGCTCAATCAACTGCTTCAAGAGATTCAGGCAGCTGTCCACGAGTATGGCGATGTGCATGGTGTTGAAGGTGCGTACTATCCAACATGCGAGGATCGATCAGGTTTCCGGGTATGACCCAAATACCAAGCTTCGCAATGCTCGCATGCCAGAAGTATATCCATGGCAGATAGGTTGATTGACAATCTCAGGTATGGACGAAAGCGAACAACAGCCGACCCTTCATCAACATTCGAAGCATATACAATTTGACCAAACAGTATCTTACCTATGACCCCAACCACGCAGGTGTCAGGAAACTTTACAAATGGTTCGGCCAAACGATTCGTGGTCAATTTCCTGGTCATCACGACATAGATCCACGCCAACACAAACCATATGACCGAAATGCGGTTGGTGATGATGATGACATGTCCGATATGGATCCGGATTTGTGTGGAGATAGCGACGACGAAGATGAAATTCTAGGCATCGACGGTGAAAATGATGAGGGGTGGGATGAAAGCAAAGATGGCCAGGAGAACGTAGGCTATGACCACGATAACTGGAACGACGATGGCCAAGACGACCAGGATGGTCAAAACGGCCAAAACGGCCAAAACGGTCAAGATGACTATGATGAAGCAACTTACTCTGACGGAGGAGATGATGATGAGGGTCACCAGGACGGTTCTCATCATGGCCAACATCATGGTCAGTCAGAAGACGACTATTAGATCCCGTGAACTGGCACAACATCTGCGGAGAGGCGTATGTTGGGCATCCGGATTGACGCACAAAGAGCGTCGGCGCTAGGATTCGCTCTCGGTTAATCATGCGTGATGGTCCGAATGGTGCATATCGCGGTTGCAAATGTTCGGAATGTCTGCCCTGGCTTGCTGAACTTGACATCTGTGAAATGGTTGGCATGTTTGTTGAAAGGTTGAACTGCAAAACGGAAGCGAATGTCTGAAGCTTGGCGCCATTATTCTACCACACTGGCAGTAGTTTGATCTTTCACATTGACCTGCAATTGTATGCATTTCCTTTGCTGAAAGTCACATGGGAATCAATGACACAGCGACAGCCCGGCTCAATCATATACACCTTGCTTGATCCGCCAAGAGGCCACGAATCTCCACGATTTGACTTTCAGCGTGAGCTCCCCAGGCCTGCGTCCTCGCGGAAATGCACCTTGAAGGGGTTGAACGCTGCGGACAGCGACTGGGGCGGCGTGCTTGCAAGTCCAAAGACACAAGCATGCTCCCTGATAAGTGGCAGTCACAAGATCCACCGCTCAAAGTTGTGTGACAGCAAGAGCGACCGCTTGTTTCGATGCATCTGTATTGCGTTTAAAGTTTGAAAAAAGAGTCGAGCTTTCCCTCGCTTACCTTTGATTGCAGCACAAGCAGATGATTGATTTCAACGCGAGACATCAACGTCTCTGCACCAAGGCGGAGGTCACTCTCCGGTGCATTTTCGTGCCTAGTCACCTCACCGTGAGCTCCTAATGCGATCTCCCGCAAGATCGCTCGATAAGATGCATGTCGTATGTCACTAACAGATCTCCGCGGTACAGAAGGACTTGATGACGACCACTTCCCCAGTATTGTGGGTCTTGGTAAGTCTCCATACGAAGCATATATCAAGCAAGGTTGCTGCTGCCCAAACTTTGATCCTGAAATACCAGGTACTCGCGTTTGACGAAGCACATTCGAATCAGGATACGTTCTAGCGAATCGGCTCAAATGCACCCACCGTATCAACTCACATGATTCGACGATGACAACATGATAGACGTTGCGGCAGGCTTGGAAGTGAGCATAGCCTCCGCCACCTTTTATCATTAGGGCCGTCTCATGCGCAGCTAATAGGAACACACGAGTGATAGGCATTGTACGATATGTCTTGAGTCAGATCTCGGCATACGTCTTCTTCCCTCGGACAACGGTGCCAACAATAGGGGAAGCAGAAGATTTTACGTGATTCCAATATACACCAAATTGATAAAGCACGTAAACCATTGCTACGAACGGCTTGGAATTCCCTCGGAGACGTTTGCTGATGGAGTCTATAGTCAATGCGCATCGCGCATGTGATGCAAATTACTGCTCTAACCACCTTTGTCGTTTACACAGAGGCATGCTGCCTCCCCCAGTCATGCAGCCCTTGCAATGGCCGAGGAAGCATTCCGCGCGAAATGTGCATCAGTCGTTCTTGAGTGCCCTTTCGGAGATGTGGACTTCCTCCGATCTCAAGATCAATATCTCTGCTGCATGTTGCAAAGTTTCTCCCTTGTGATAACCGCAACATCCGCAAGTCTACCTGGCTCTGCAGGCAAAAGCTTCGGCAAGGATGTATCGACGGCGAGACTCAACGGCAAGACAACAACGAGGAGGCTTCCCCCAGCCACCCTGCTCTTCGCTAGATCCTCTCCCCATGCCGAAGTCTCATGATCAAAGCTTGACGCCTCTTACGAAGACGGGCCTGCTAATTCTTAGATCCATCTCCGCGCCACGAAATCTTCAAAAGTACAGCGACGTCGCCGTGGCTGCCTGAACATGAACGCCGAGGGCAGCAATGCTCGGCACATGATGAGGGAAGCAAAGGAACGCGTCAGCCTTCTCCCATTCCTTTCCGACCTGCCGTACGTCTTCGACGAGAAGACAATCCGAAGAACAGGCGGTAGATTGCGCGTCTTTCGGTTCAAGAGAGACGAAGGCAAGCAGCATCGCTCGCAGGGATCCAGTGGCCTGACCAGGCTTAACT